GGAAACAACAAAGTGAACCCCGCGTCCACCCGCGGCGGGGGAGGGAGGGGACAGACAGCAGCCAGCACCTTCTCACCGAGCTGAGGAGCCAGGGTCTAGACCGCCTGAGCTTGGGGGGAAAGCCTGGAGAGAAGGGCCCGGAATCCTGCGCGCAAACCGCTCAGGCCTGGCGCCCCCGGGCTGTCCGACCCCGGGGAGACTGCGAGAACCGGCAGAGAGGGGCAGCTGCGGAGAGAAGGACGTGAGCGGCTGCGGGCAGCCGGGCAGCGGGAGGAGCCGGCTGGAAGTCCAACCCGCGGGCACTGCGCCAGGCGGGCGGTGCAGACGGCCCTGGGGGCGCGCAGGGGCCCCACTCCTCAGGAGCACGAGCCACCCTCCCGGGAACAAACCCGCCCTCGTGACGCCCGGCTGCAAGGCCCAGCCAGCCCGGGATCCGCTGAAGCTGCTCCCCCTGCGACTACAGCCCCACCCTCGCTGGGAGCTCCAGGGCCGACCCAGCACCCCATGCAAATGTACCCAACGGCCAACATCAAATACAAAGCACCAGGCAGCCTATGAAAGGGGAACAGATCACTGACAACCAAGAGGCAAAGCAGGAGAGCCTCCCCAGGTGACAGATGGAGGAGCTCTCAGATGCTGTCTTCACATCACTGCCCCGCGCACTGTCGGTTCAGGGTCCCACTGCGGCTCAGGTCACGATCTCACCGTTCGTGGGTTCGAGGCCCTGCGTCGGGCTCTGTGCTGACAGCTCAGAGCCTGGAGCTGCTTTGGATTCAGTGTCTCCCTCTCTCTCTGCCCCTCCCCTGCTCACACTGTCTCTCTCTCTCTCAGAAATAAATAAAACATTAAAATAATTTAAAAAGAGTCCGTTCCTTGGTTTGTCCCTTCTTTTCTCCTTTGTTCATCTGTTTTATTTCTTAAATTCCACATATAAGTGAAATAATATATTTGTCTTTCTCTGACTGGCTTATTTCACTCAGTATTGCGTCCTTCTCATTTTTAAAAAATTTTTAATTTTATTTAAATCCAAGCGAGTTAACATATAGTGTAATAACAATTTCAGGAGTAGAATTTAGTGATTTGTCACTTACATATAACACCCAGCGCTCATCCCAACAAGCGCCCTCCGTAACGCCCCTCGCTCATTTAGCCCATCCCCCCCCACCTCCCTTTGTCAACCCTGTTTGTTCTCTGTGTTTAGGGGTCTCATATGGTTTGTCTCCCTCTCTTTTTATCTTATATTTGCTTCCCTTCTCCTATGTCCCTCTGTTTTGTTTTCTTAAATGTCACTTATGAGCAAAATCATTTATTTGTCTTTGTCTGACTTATTTCGCTTAACATAATACACTCTAGTTCCAGCCACGTTGTTGCAAATGGCAAGATTTCATTCTTTTTTTTTTTTTAATTTTTTTAAATTTTTATTTCTAGGAGAGAGAGAGAGAGACAGCGTGAGCAGGGGAGGGTCAGAGAGAGAGGGAGTCACAGACTGAAACAGGCTCCAGGCTCTGAGCTGGCAGCACAGAGCCCGATGCGGGGCTTGAACCCACAAACCGCAAGATCATGACCTAAGCGAAAGTCGGACGCTTAACCGACTAAGCCACCCAGGCACCCCAAGATTTCATTCTTTTTGATCACTGAGTAGTTTTCCATTATATATATACCACAACTTTGTCTATTCATCTGTCAGTGGACATTTGGGCTCTTTCCATAATTTGGTGATTGTTGATAGAGCTGCTGTAAACATCGGGAGCCTGTGCCCCTTCAAATCAGCATATTTGTATTGTTTGGGTAAATACCCAGTAGTGCAACTGCAGGGTCCTAGGGCGGTTCTGGTTTTCAGCCTTTGAGGAACCTCCACACTGTGCACCAGCGCGGCTGCACCAGTTTCCATTCCCACCAGCAGCACGAGAGGGTCCCCTTTCTCCGCATCCTCGCCCACATCTGCTGTTTCCTGAGCAGTTGATTTCGGCCGAGAACGTGCGTTCCTAACGTTCCTAACAGATCGATCGGTGTGGTCCCCCGCCCAGCGACTCCGCCTTCCCGCCGCCTGCCTGGGGGCATGTTTTTGGTCACAGAGAACTGCTCCCAATATGCCTGCTGGTCTCCAAAGAGGTCGTAGCCCAGGATAGACCAGCACGCCTGATAGGTTCAAACCCAGTGACCGCAGGGCACTGTCACAGCCGTCGCAGCTCGGTGGTGGCAGCTCTCTCGTGCGGTAGTGTTAATGCGGGCCCGTTGGCTTAGACTGACCCAATGGCCCCGGGCAGATGGGACCACGTGTGTCGGCCACACTGAACAGGGGGACCATGCCTGCCAGCCAGCGGCGGGGCTGTGTCAGCGGTCATACTGACTCCAAATGACCCAGGGGCGTGGAGCAGATGCTTATGTTTCCCTTACAGAAAGTCACACGCGGGGTAACCTCGCCTGGAGACAGCCTCGTTTGTGGTGGCTTCTGTCTCCTCAACTGTAAAAAGCAGATCACAGCGGGGGTTGGGGGGAGCGCTCCCCAAGGATTTCACGACAATGCCCAGCACCAGGCCTGTGGTGAGGAAAGAGCTCTGCGGACGACAACCGTGTGTGCCCATCACCGCACTCGCTCTTCCTCCCCCCACCCCCGAGGAGGCAGCAGGTGTGAACAGCCTCACTTTACACAGCGGGGAAACTGAGGCTCACAGGCACGCTGTTCATACGCTTACGCCGTGAGTCCAAGCCCGTGGTGTCTACATTCAGAGATATGCGGGTTCTGATCCCGCCTCAGCCATTTTCTGTCTGTCTAGATGCTGCCCCCCCTTACCCCAAACACCCCCCCCCGGATGCTACAAACACTGTGATGGACAACTCGCGCCTGACCCGCGCCTGACGCGGAGCCCGAGCTGTGCTTCGCAGACAGACAAGGCTCTGGGAGAAGCTGCATCGTCGGTGAGGCCTGAAGAGTGACCCACCTTAGGCGGGGAAATGTGGGAGCGGCACCATAAACTCCTGGGCAAAGGAAAGTGTGCAGCAAACTGAGGGCAAGGAAGGAGCGCACGTGCTGATGGGACAGGCTGGGCAGGTCACAGAGCGGGGGCAGCACGCCAAGGGTTCAGGCCTCGTCTGGGGGCAGAGGGCGCCGCTGGAAGGGCCTCAGGCCGGAGCAGTGAGATTATAGGCAGGTGGCTCTTGGTGCCTCGGAGAGGATGGGTACAGGGGACAGAGATGACCAGGGGGCAGAGAGGGGCGGGGGCTGCAGCACCGATGCCGGCAGGCGGTGCTGAGGGATGGAGAAGGGGGGGGGATTCATGAGGAGGTAGAATCTGTGTCCACAGAGTCCACAGTTCTGGAGGCTGGGAGCCCAGGAACCGGGTGCCTGTGAGGTCCGGTTCTGGTGAAAGCCCTCTCTGGGGCTCGTAGATGCCACCTTCTTGTGCCCTCACATGGCGAGTGGAGGAGGAGACAGAGAACCCTGTGCTATCTCTTCTTACGAAGGCTTCATTCCTTTACACGGCTGAGTAATATTCTACTGTACAGATGGACCGTATTTTATTGATCTATCCTCAGTCAATGAACACGCAGGTCATCTCCCCGTGTGGCTGTTGTGAATAAAGCAGCTTCCCGCACTTGTTCGTGTACAGGTGCTGCTGTGCGCGTTTCATTTCCCTCGGGTCGGCTACCTGGCAGTGGCATGGCTGGGTGCTGCTGGGTGCTACATAACTCCGTGAATGCCCTCACTCCTGCCCTGGCTCATTTGTTTAGGCGGCATAGGGCAGACATGGATGAGCTGACACAGCGTCACGGTGTGCCAGACTTACGCGTGGCGAAACGGCGGCAGGCTGCCCCAGGAAGGGGCTCTTCTCAGTATCCACTGCAAGTTTTCTGTCAGATGGCTGAGTGAAGGCCTGCTCTGCTTAGCACACCCCCCAACCCTTAATTACACCCAGAACCCGCTTCATAATCTGCGGGGTCCCGTGCAAAATGAAAATGTGGCTCCCTTGTTCACACCTGACTAAGGATTCTAAGGCCGGGAGAGCAGGGCATTCAACCAAGCCCCAGGACCTTCCTCTCTACAGTGGAAAGTGCCCTCAGAGGGTGGAGCATGGGACTCTTGACCTGGAGGTCCTGAGTCTGAGCCCCACGCTGGGTCTAGAGAGTTACTTAAAAAATAAAATCTCAGGGGCGCCTGGGTGGCTCAATTGAGCCTCGGACTTCAGCTCAGGTCACGATCTTGCGGTTAGTGAGTTCAAGCCCTGCATCGGGCTGCATCGGGCTGCTTGGGATCCCCCCGCCCCGCCTCTGCAGGGTGGTCCCGCCCCGAGGGGCTGTGCCCACAGCTGGGGAGTTGCCAAAATGCTCCAAAAGCCACGGACACTGGTTACAGACACTGATCAATCACATTCAGTAACGGAGAATTGCGTATTCTCACGGAAATAGTTAAAGTTCAACTTTGATATTTAATTTCACCATCTGAGAAATGATAAATTTGTGTCGAGCTGATTATTTTTAAGAAAGCGGGAAGTGGTTAAAATTTTTAAGCTTTGACACTTAAAGTCAATACTCAAAGAGGGTCAATCCTGTGTTGAATGGCTCACACTCAATGAGCGTAAGCGACGTGGTCCGACGGAAGCAGCGAACACCGCCGGGGCGCCGCGCTTCCAGCTCAGCGCGGGAACCGCGGGCAGCTGGGCGCTGGGGGCGCACATCCGCGGGGCGGGGGGGCCGGGTCCGCGGGGAGACGGGAGGTCGCGGCGTGGAGCGTCACGTGACCGCGCGGCGCGGCCAACTCGCCCCGCCCCTCGCAGGCGTGGTCGGGCGGCCGGCAGCGCGCGGACTCGGAGACACGCCCCAGGGCGGGGCCTTGGGCAGCGCCTGCGCCGTGGCGGGCCCAGGCGAGCGCGCGCCGCGGGGGTGGGGCCGCGCGGAGGCGGCCGCGCGGAGGCCGGAAGGAAGCGGGCGGAGGGCGGGGCGAGCGAGGGAAGCCCGCCGGCCCGCAGGACGACCGTCGCGGCCTGATGACGTCGCACAATGGCCGGCCCCCGCGGGTAGTGGAGCCCGTTTGTTCCGCCCGCGTCGCGCCTCAAGCCGGAGCCTGTGAGGAGCGGAAGGGCCGAGGGACGTCTTCCCCGCGCCGCCCCGACGCCAGCGGAGCCGTGGCCCCCTCCCCGCCCTCGCGCTGAGGTAAGTGGCGGCGGTGGCTGGGAGGCCCGGCCGGCGGGGAGGAGGCCGAGGCGGCCGGGCGGGGAGCGTGGCGGCGGCGCGGAGCGGAGGCCCGGGAGCTCCGGCGCCGCCGCCTCCGGGGAGCGCTCCGGGCTGCGTCCCCGGCCGAGCGTGGCCCTCGGGCCCTGGGAAGGGGTCGCTGAAACAGTCGCGATCCCGCCTTCAGTCCGCGGCGAGCCGGCCCGGGAGGCCCTGGAACCCACTCCGAGCTCGAACTCCCCGCGGCTTCCTCTGCGCCCAGCGGTGGAGTTGATTCTCCCGAAGCTGTCATTTCTCTTCCGGGACATTCGCGTGGCACATGTTTGCCGCCCACCGCAGGGGTAGCGGGGGGAGCCCGCAGATTCGCCCCGCGGAGGAGGCCCGCCAGGACTCGGGATGGGCTCTTCGGGAACTTTGAGCTCTGCGGAGCCTCCCGGAACTTGCTCCCTCAGCCTCACGGTGCACAGGTTGGAGGTGTTGGCTGTGACCCAACGCGCGCGCCACTCTTAGGAATGAACTTACTCCTTAAGTTAGGAAGGAGCCCGGATCGCGCCGAGTCCTTTGGAAAAACTCACTGCAGCTGTTGTGCTGGGGGAGCCTAAGACTTCGTTCACTTCCAGCCTTGCTTCTGCTGGAACTTGAGTTTTCTCGAATACTTTGTGACAGCTCGTTTTAAGAGAGCGCTGTTCAACGGGCTTTCTGGCTGTCTTCCGCCCCGTTTGGGGGAAATGGAAGAAGGGAGTGCTTAGCATCTGTAGTTCTGTTCGGGGGCAGAGCAGTGTCTCATCATTTCGTGTTCGAGGCTCGCCTCTCGTATTGCCTGTGGATGGGGTCTCGGCCCCAGAATTGTACAGTCTGAGCACACATGTGGAGTCCAGCCAGCTCTGTGTCCCGCAGGCTGGAACCCCTCTCTGGTTTGGGGTGGGAAATACCCTTTCAGAGAGCAAACAGGTAAGCGGTGATCTTGCTCATGTTTAAGGAGGTTTTTTGCTCTTTCACAGCTACAGATCATCTCAAGGTGAGTGCTGCTTTCCCGAGGAGTTTTGGCGGTCAGGCTTAGTCCCTTGGGGTGCCCTCCGCCCCCAGCCTTGACATCTTTCCTTTAGGTGTTGTAAATCCGTGACGTTTTGAATCAGGATTGTAGCTGGATGTGCCAGAACGTAGGCATTCAAATGGGGGTTGCTCTCTTCAAAGTTATTTTCCTGAAAGGCTGTGCTTGCACTTCACTGGTGCTCCTCTGCCAGAGCCTCCTTAGAACTCTTGTTTTGGTAGAAAGTACCTAAGTCAGGTGAGAAAATCAGTCTCGTTCAAGAGTTGTACCCTGCGTCTGACCAGGAGTCCTCTTACCTGGCGCAGGAGCTCACCTCATGGGTTTCCTGTGATTTCTCCAGTGGCCCGCCTTGAGAGGGGAGCTTCTGCTGTCACTAGAGTGCGAGGAGAGAAGGTTCCAGACGTCACTCACAAAGAGAAGTTCCCAAAAGTTGGGTGCTGCTGTTGGAATCCATGTGCAGCCCTCCCGAGTGGCTGCTGGGTGACTAGCCGCCACTTCATGTCTGAATTCTGGTATCATCTTTGAAAAATGGGTTTCTTTCTGGCATGCGACAGGTAGTTTATCCAGTAACAGGATGTTGTCATTTAGCCAACAAGCGTTTGTCGAGTGTCACCCGCCAAAAGCAGCATGCAGTGGAAACACAGCGATGGACGCTTGCCCTTGTGTTCTCCGGGCAGGTTCACCATCTTGGGAGTCACAGGTCCTAGACTTTGCCTGGAATCCTCAGCTGCAGGGTAATTGTGTGAGAAGAAGAGATGAGTAAAAACCCTGCGCCCGGGAGGTGGTGAAGCTGTGGCAGGAGGGCCCTCCGTTACCCTGTCTGCATCCGATAGGCTGCGCGCTCTCCGTGCTCCCGACTCAGGGTGGATGCTCACGTGGTCGCTGCCCTGAGTTCATCTCAAAACAGGACATAGATGCCCCGAGAGACAGTGAGCCTGCCTGGCACGGGGCCTGGGATGCAAGCCTTCTTCTGACCCCTGATGACACTTCCCTCCTGGGCAGCGAGCTGTGACTCGGTGGTTTCTAATAGGTGGGTTCTGTGGAGTGTTTCTCTGCAGCGTGTTCACCTGTGAGCAGCCTCATATTGTGAAGTCCCAAGGGGTTCCATGGGTAAAGAAAAGATGCGTCCCCTCAGGACATTATCAGGGCTTTCTGAGGAGTGTGTGTCCCAGTGTGCCCAGGACAGCCCCTCTTCGTGGCTGTTGTAACTGTTAACGGTGCCTCCCCTACAGTTTCAAACGTGACCCCAGTTAGACGGCAAAGTACATGGGGCGGTGCTACTCCGTGCCAGCTGTTTGCTGCGCTTGGGGAGCACAGAGGTGAGTCTGAGCCTCCTCCTCGGGTGCTCCATGCGCGGTGGGGGCGGGGCCTGCCCACAGGCTTCACAGATTAACAGTGGTGGACAGCGGGGTAAGCGTGGGTTCAGAATCCACAACATACAGTGTACTTGGGGCAGGAGCTCTTAATCTGGGGACAGTGGATAAACCCCAGGGGGGTTTGAACTCCCCAAAGTGGGAGATGCATTGCATGTATTCTCGTTTGCCTGGGGGACCAGCCATCCCCTTCACCAGGGTCTCAGAACCATCCGTGCTCTCCTGACGGCTCAGCACCACCCCTGGAGAGCACCGGGCCACCCACGTAGCGGCAAGTGCGCTCAGGACCTTCAGCCCTGCCACCTTCTGGTCAGCTCTGAAAACTGCCTTTGAGAGTCAGGAAGTTAGCTTTGTGTCCTTAGAATGTTGAATTGGTTCCCATAATTTACACAGTGGGGGGCATGCGCTCAATAAGTACTTCTTTTTTTTTTTTTTAATTTATTTCTAGGAGAGAGCGAGGGAGCGAGCAGAGGAGGGTCAGAGAGAGAGGGATATACAGACTCCGAAATAGGCTCCAGGCTCTGAGCTGGCAGTCAGCACAGAGCCCGATGCGGGGCCCGAACCCACGAACCGTGAGATCATGACCTAAGCGAAAGTCGGATGCTTAACCGACTAAGCCACCCAGGCGCCCCTCAATAAGTACTTCTTAAAGTGACCCTCCTGGCACAGTGCACCAGCCTCTCCACGTGGTAATCTGAGTCCGCATTGCCCATGGGGTCAGTGTACAGGTGGGCACCTTTGAGGCTGTTTTCTTAGATTCGGGTTTCGTTTACATGCCTAAGATTCAGACTTCAGATAAGTTTAAAATAAATGACTGGGTCATTTAATTTAGCGTCCGACTTTGTTTGGCTCAGGTCATGGTGTCCCAGTCTGTGGGTTCAAGCCCCACATCGGGCTCTGTGCCGACAGCTCAGAGCCTGGAGCCTCCTTCAGATTCTGTGTCTCCCTCTCTGCCCCTCCCCTGTTCACACTCTTGTCTCTCTCTCGAAAATAAACAAACATTTAAAAATTAAAAAAAAAAAAAAGACCTTTAGAAGTTGGATCTCCATATGTTCATCACTGTTTTTTTGTGTTTTTTTTTTTAATATTTTTATTTATTTCTAGGAGAGAGAGAGAGAGACAGCGTGAGCAGGGGAGGGTCAGAAAGAGAGGGAGTCACAGACCGAAACAGGCTGCAGGCTCTGAGCTGGCAGTCAGCACAGAGCCCGACGCGGGGCTCGAACCCACGAACCGCGAGATCATGACCTAAGCGAAAGCCGGACGCTTAACCGACTAAGCCACCCAGGCGCCCCATCATCACTGTTTTTTCACTAATGGACTATATAAGTCATATAACTTTTTCACGAATACGAAAATGTGTTTTTGTAGAAGGGCTAAGATAGTGGTTACAGACAGGTCAGCACAGAACTTCAAAAGGAAGAAAGTAAAACCAGGCAGACCCTGCTGGTTCGGTAGCAGTCCCCAGTTTGTGTGTGGGTTCTGTTCCAGAAAAGAGTTTATAACATCAGTTTGGAACTTAGGTCCCATTTCCTAGAGAAACAGTGGCAGAAAGTAGGGGTGGGTTTCTGGGCAGGGAGCACCCGCTCACGTGTGGTCCGAGGTTCTGTAGTCGACACACTCTGGGTGCAGTTCTGACTTGTGGTCCCCGGGTACCCACTCAGTGGCCATGTGGCCTAGGTCTCCTTGTCTGTGACAGGGAACACGAACTGTTTGGAAGGCTGACGTGAGGGATTGGTCAGGTGCCTGACACGGGGCGGGTGTCATTTCTCAGCAGGTGTTGGTGGCTCTCAGCTTCCTTGCAGAGTTGTTTCGATGATACAGTCTTCAGCTGAGTAGACGGCTGTTTGTTGGATGAAACCACGAATGAATTAACTCCTAAGTCTCGCCGAGACTCGAAGTGTGAAGTGTGTCTGTCTGACGGGCGATAGGAGTCTGGTTCTTAGAAGTTGAGGATGACCTTACTCCTCTTCTCACTAATTCAGTTTAAATTCAAACATGTGGAGCCTCTGCCCGGCAAAGTAGATACGGTCATTCTCATACCTCAGATGTAAGAGACCTACAGAGGTGTGGCAAGGTTACGTAGTCTGCCCAGGTCCTGCAGCTGGGACGTGGGGGAGCTGGGGTTCCGGTCTGACGCAGAGACCGTGCGCGTCTGCGTGTGCCGGTAAGATGCGGCGCACCGACAGGTCAACTGCCCACGCTTTGCATTGGCTCGGGTATTGGAAGTTAGGTACTGTTTCTCTTCCATTTATTACTCTAGGATTCAGTTTCAAGTTCCCAGAGTCTAAAAACCAATCTGGTTGGATCTGATCATAACAATGAAACCAAAGTGCAAGCCAGTTTGCACACGGCCCCAGAGGAGAGCTGTTTCCAGGCCTGGAGAGCTTGTGGCCGTGAGCAGGATAGTATGTTGCGAGGCCAGTGGGGCCTGGGCCCCCAGTTCCTGCAGCATATCTGGTGCGTGATTTTTAATGTAGTTTGAGGGGACGTTGAATTTTAGATAACAATTGGTTGATTTAAGTAGGAAGTCATTTTGTTTCCAGGGTTGCCATTGGACTATAAAATGTGAAAACCCGAATATGTCAGGTTTCTAGTAGGGACTTCTGAGGCTCCATAACCAGCTCCCTGTGACTGGCTGCCCCCAGGGCCCAGGTCTAGATTCGGCAGCTGGCGCGACAGAAGGCCCTGCCCTGGGCTGAGAGGTGTCTCGTACATGATGTGAGAAGAGGTGTGCAAGGGTGGGCCTGGGACTCCTACACTGTCCACCCAGGGAGGGGAAGGGCCCTGAGTGCTTGCTGCAGCTGCCGTCCGACCGCTGAGCGTGGACGGCCCTTAGCTTCCCGGCACCCTGCTCGCCTCACCTGCAGGCAGTAGGCGTGCTGTGCCGGGGACAGCGCTGTCCTGGACTGGGAGGGGTGGGGGGAGGGCCGCTGCATGATATTCGGCAGGGGCCACCATTCGAGGACTGATTTTTTAAAAATTCTCCCCAATAGGGGCGCCTGGGTGGCTCAGTCGGTTGAGCATCCGACTTCGGCTCAGGTCATAATCTCACGGTTCGTGGGTTCGAGCCCCATGTCGGGCTCTGTGCTGACAGCTGGCTCAGAGCCTGGAGCCTGTTTCAGATTCTGTGTCTCCCTCTTTCTCTGACCCTCCCCTGCTCACGCTGTCTCTCTCTCTCTCACACACAGAAATAAATGAAAACATTAAAAAAACATTTTTTTTAATTCTCCCTAATAGTCCTGCCCCTGGACAGGACAGTTAGAAAGACTGAAAAGTGAATCCTTTTCAAAATTGTGGCTATGAATGGATGATCAGGTTTGTAAATTTCTATTAGTGGTAGTCATTTAGTTGACTTATAAAGTGATAAATTTTAGGTGATTTGTCCTAATGTGTGTTCAATTATAATAATTTCTATTAACTGCAAAAATAGTGTTTTTAACTGTAGGTTAGGGTACCAGCTCTTGGTATATGCCTCCTTAAACATAAGGTCTCCTTTCAAAAGTATACATTTGAAAGGTGACATGTTTAGTTTTTAGTTATGTAAATGTGTAAAATAATTATATATACAGTGTAACGTTTATTTTTGAGAGAGAGCGCGCCAGAGCATCAGCAGAGGAGGGGCAGAGAGAGCGTGGGGGACAGAGGATCCAAAGCACCTCTGTGCTGACAGCCAACAGGCTGATGCAGGGGCTCAGACCCATGAGCCATGAGACCTTGACCTGAGCCAACGTCAGACGCTTAACTGACTGAGCCCTCCAGTCGCCCCAATAATTTTCTGTATTTACTTAAAGTATGCAAGTATAGGTATGTGTTTCCAGATCTTACTGAAACACCAAGTGGCATAATTGTGACATATGTTACCTTAAATAATGACTTTGAAGATTCAAGTGAACACTGAACCTGTCACTCTCCTGTTACTTCAGCAAGTGACTCGCTCCAGGCTGCACTGGTGAATGGTGACTGTTGGCCTGATTATACACTGGGGTTGCTTCCTGCACATACACCCCCGTCCCGCGGTACGCAGCCTCCAAAGTGGAACCAGGGGCGCCTGGGGGCTCAGTCGGTTAAGCGGCCGACTTCAGCTCAGGTCGTGATCTCACCATTTGTGGGTTCGAGCCCCTCGTCAGGCTCTGTGCTGACAGCTCAGAGCCTGGAGCCTGCTTCCGATTCTGCCAATGTTAGAAAAATGTTTTTAAAATTTTTTTAATGTTTCATTTATTTCTGAGAGAGAGAGAGAGACTGTGAGCAGGGGAGGGTCAGAGAGAGAGGGAGACACAGAATCTGAAACAGGCTCTAGGCCCTGAGCTGTCAGCACAGAGCCCGACGCGGGGCTCGAACCCACGAACGGTGAGACCATGACCTGAGCCGAAGTCGGACGCTTAACCGACTGAGCCACCCAGGTGCCCCAGAAAAATGTTTTTAGAGAAATGGAACAATATACCGTCTTCGGTCGCTAAGGTGGGAAAACCAAAAAATATGCACTTTATCACTAAATCCTGATCGGTAAAAATAGAAACAAAGTCTTCTGAAGCGATAGCCTTCTTACGTGTGAAACTACCCACACACGTGAGGCTCCCTGCAGGGTCCTCGTCCACGACGTGCCCGCGTCAGCGCGGCCCGTGTCCGCCTCCCCGCGGGGAGTGCCGGGCCGCGCGTGAGCACCGCCTTCTGGGCCCCTGGTCCGGGCTCCAGCGTCCAGGTCCGTGGCCGGGCCCGCGTCCCGAGCGCGTCTTCGGGGCGGTCAGGGCCTTGCGCCCAGCAGCGCGTCCGGCAGCGGGAGCCGCAGCTCGTGACCGGGGGTCCCCGGCCGGCCAGGGCTCCTGCTCCAGCCGCCCTCAGCTTCGTCGCCTCGTTCAGTCATGCGGCTTTTCTTGAATTTCAAACACGACTTTCTCCAGGAATGGAGAAAGCTGCCCTTTGCAACACAGATGTTACTACTTGCTTTACCGGGTCTCCCCGCGACGAGAAGGGCACGGGGCTCCGCCGGACAGCTGCACGGTGGCGTCGCGCAGACGGGACCCGGCTGGGGGCGGAGCGTGGCCCCGGGCAGCAGGGCGCACCGGCGGTGCGCTTTGGTAAAGGCCGTGCACGTGTTCTTTCTTTCGCAGAATCGCGGGTACCGATGGACGTGGCCGAGAGCCCTGACCGGGACCCTCGCTCTCCGGAGGACGACGAAGAGGAGCGGCAGGGGCTCTCGGACGATGACATTCTGAGGGAGAGCGGCTCCGAGCGGGCCTCCGACGGGGCGGGGGGCCTGGAGGACGAGGGGCACGCGGCCCCGGGGCTGGGCCGGCAGGGGCGGCGGGGGGACGAGGGGGACGAGGAGGACGAGGAGGGGGGGGGCCCCCCCTCCGACGACGAGGACCAGGACGCGGGCAGGGGCCCCGCGAGCCCCCCGCGCGGGGCGGAGGCGGACGGGGGGGAGGAGGAGCGCACGAGCGACCTGAGGGACGAGGCGTCGTCGGTCACCCGGGACCTGGACGAGCACGAGCTAGACTACGACGAGGAGGTGCCCGAGGAGCCCGCGCCCGCGCCGGACGACGAGGCCGACGACGACAGGGGGGCGGGCGCTCCTGGGGCCGGGGGGGCCGCGGGCGCTCACGGCCCGGAAGGCAGGGAGCCCCTGGAGCCCCCCAAGGAGAAGAACAAGGAGGACGACGACGGGGAGCTGGACGACGGGGAGCTGGATGTGAGTGCCGGGCTGGGGGGGGGCCCTGGGGGCGGCC